CCTCAGCACAGAACAATAAATCTTGCCTACCCTAGCTTCCGCAGTCTCCAGAATTTGCTCAATTTATGTTAAAAGAACAGCAGCACCAGTATCAGAGAATCAAAACTCACTTCTGGATAACAGCATCTTGTTTTGCCTGCTGCACTGGGTGCAGCCTCAGAGGTACTATCTCACAAGATGTCTCCCTCTTGGCCAAGGGGAGAGGGGTGGGGCTCAAATGGGCCAGCCAGCCTGTTCCCTGGGGACTGGAATCTTGAGTAGAGTGACAGAATAAGGTTACTGCTGATCTCTAAGATAGCAATGTCCTGCAGACAGAGTATGTCACATGATTCATGTGCCTGGATTCCCAGAACTGTCCTTCTTCCTGCTGTATTTATCATCTAGTTGGTCAGGTGTTGCTCCTCTAGAACCTTCAAATTCCTTTTAAAAAACAAATTCATTTAAAAAAATGCAAACATATATAATATATACATGTATCAAACAGCACATGTTGCCCCCTGATATATACAATTTTTATGTACCAGTTAACATTTTTTTTTTGCTTTATTTATCTATTTATTTATTTGTAGTACTGGAGATTGAACCCAGGAGTATGCTACCACTGAGCTACATCCCCAGCCCTTTTTATTTTGAAACATGGTCTAGTGAAGTTGCCCAGACTGGCCTTAAATTTGCAATCCTCCTGCCTCAGACCCTCCAGTGACTGGAATTACAGATGTGCATCACTGTGCCCAGCTTGTAAGGACATTTATGAAGACTGTGAGCAATGTGAGGACTGTCCTGTCCACAGATAAGTCTGCAGTGCCCATGAAGGGAAGGCTCAGGTCTGCTGAATTCCACACCTAGAACAGATAATTTGGCAAATTCCCTTTCCCTTTGTTCTCCACTTCCTGGACACCTCCTATATGAAGCCAATTTTTCAATTTCAACATTTCTGCACTACAGGCTGTGCATTTATTTCTTCCATATTATAGAAATCAAGGATATAAAAGCTGAGCATGTCATATGGAGGAATCCATTCGTAGAGTCTAGAGATGCTATAAAATCCCTTTTTATGATGTAAAAGCTTATGGGTACTTTTAAAATTTTTTTAGTTGTTGATGGACTTTTATTTAATTTATTGATATGTAGTGCTAAGAATCAAACCCAGTGCCTCGAACATGCTAGGCAAGCACTCTACCACTGAGCCACAACCCCAGCCCTTATGGGTACTTTTTATACTGATATGTTATTCAATATATGTATGATTTTTTGGGAAATCTTAAAACACCATTTCTGTAACAAGTTGATGGTATACAAACAAGCTTTGGGGGACAGGGGACAATGGGAAATGGAGAGAAAAAAAGAGATTTAGAGCCTTAACACTCTCCCTCCTCCTCCTCTGCCTCAACCTCCTCCTCTTTCCCTCCTCCTTTTTCCCTTCTCCTTTTTCCTCCTCCTCCTTTTCCCTCCTCCTTTTTCTCTCCCTCCTCTTTTTCCTTCTTCCTTTGTCCTCCTTCCTCCTTTGTCTTCCTACCTCCTCACCCTCTTTTCTCTGCCCTCCTTGCCCTCCTTCCTCCTCTCCCTCCTTCCTCCTCTTTTTCCTTTCTCCTATTCTTTCTTCTTCCTAGTCTTCCTTCTTCCTAGTCTTCCTTC